TCCACTGAGCCAAACTGGCTAGGGCTCTTGATTTGTCTCATTGGGACTCCAGTTAGGAAGCCGGCCCAGGGCAGGGGGACCATGGGGGACAAGACCTTCAGGACTTTGAGTCTGGGAGGCCCAGGGCAGGGGGGCGCAGAAGGAGTGCCCCCAGAATGGGAAGCTGTGGTGTGAGGGGCCCTTCACTCAGTTCTCCGAGGCGTTTGTGTCCCTGCACCGCGTCCCCGTGCTCCCAGTGCGCCTGGAGGAGGTGCGGGGCCCTGAGCAGCTGGCTGTGTGGAGGGCTGGGCTGGACCCGGATGAGCAGCTGGCGCCCGGGCTGCCCCTCTAACCGGCTGTGCTCTGTCTGCGTGACCCTTGGCAATTGCCCCCTCCCTTCCAGGCCTGAGTGGGGCCGAGCTGCCACCTGGACTTGAGCTTGTATCTCTGATGACCTTTGACATCTCTGTATTATCTGGGCAGATGCCCAGACTTACGAGGAAGTCCCCCTCTGCAGGCAGGCGGGCCTGGGCACAGTAGGGCCAGCCCTTGCTTAAGGACCCTGGAGGGATGCCAGCCACTTGCCCTCGTCTCACTGGCTCCTCATGAGGCTGCTGGGAGTCTTAGGTTTGTTGCATTAGCCCCATGCTACCTACGAGAAAACCAGGCTGAGTGAGGTGACGTGTACACTGCCCTACAGGAGACCTTATGCCAGTGGTTCTCAACCTTCCTAACGCCACGACCCTTTCATACAGTTCCTCATGCTGTGGTGACCCCCAACTATAAAATTATTTTCGTTGCTACTTCATAACTGTCATGTTGCTACTGTTATGAATCGTACTGTAAATATCTGATATGCAGGATGTATTTTCATTGTTACAAATTGAACATAATTAAAGCATAGTGATTAATCTCAAAAACGATATGTAATTATATATGTGTTTTCCGATGGTCTTAGGCGACCCCCGTGGAAGGGTCGTTCGACCCCCCAGGGGTCACGACCCACAGGTTGAGAACCGCTGCCTTATGCGCTTCTCAAACTGTGGTCCTTGGGCCTTCTCCTCCATAATCACGGAGCTTGTCAAACTGCACATTTTTAGGCCCCGTCCCAGGCCCACGGCATTGGAGCTGGAGTGCCCGGTGTGGCTCAGGGGTAGATCGTCGACCCATGAACCAGGAGGTCACGGTTTCGGTGTGGCTTTGTGTATGTTGCTTCATCTCTCTGAGCTTTGATTTCTTCGTTTGCGAAGTGGGGAGAATAGCAGCCCCTACCTCCTGGGGTATGTTGCGTGCATGCAAAGAGTTCATATCTACAGCGCATTGAGCATGGCGCCTTCCCAAGTGGACTCCTGGTGGCCGACAGGAGGGCACTCTTGAGTGGGGGTCGGTTCTTCGCAGGCGCAGAGCACAGAAAAGTCAGCTCATCGGCTCATTGGCCTGAGCACGAGCAACTTCATTGGGACCCCATGTGTTGGGAAGTTTTGGATGCGAGAAGCGGGAGGTTTGTGCTGGAAACGTCCCTTGGGCCTCCCAGCGTGTAGAGTGCCCATAGAAAGTGGAGAGGAGTCAGGAATATGATGCTGGACGTAGGAGTTTAAAGAGAGGCCTTAAACCGAAACCGGTTTGGGTCAGTGGATAGAGCGTCGGCCTGCGGACTGAAAGGTCCCAGGTTCGATTCCGGTCAAGGGCATGTACCTGGGCTGCGGGCACATCCCCATTAGGAGATGTGCAGGAGGCAGCTGATCGATGTTTCTCTCTCATCGATGTTTCTGACTTTCTATCTCTCTCCCTTCCTCTCTGTAAAAAAATCAATAAAATATATTTTTAAAAAAAAAAGAGAGAGAGGCCTTAAAAGCTCCAACCACAGCTGCCCGGCGTGGTTTTGGCAGCCGAGTTCGGGCTCTTGAACATTAAGGCAGGACTCTCCCCTGTGCATTGCCCCTGCAACTCAGTTCCGACTCCGGTTCCAGGTGGGAGGCTTGTTGCTGGTATGTGTTCCTCCTCTTGGACAGCGAAGATGAGGTAGTCTCATTTCCCTTTTCTCCTTGGCCACTGGGAGGCTCGGCACTAGATGTATGCGGACCTATGACCTGCTTATGGGAATCTCTCCTTCCTCACTGGTGTCGATGTTTTCTCCAGGTTTGTTTTGTTCTCCTCTGCGCCGGATTTTAGTGTTTATGTTTCACTCCCTTCTTTCCTTTGTGTTTTCCTCACTCTTGTGGAACCAGGCTGGGGGTATGTAAAATTGCTCCCCGTGGAAACGCCCACAACGCCGTCTCCCCAGCCGCTCTGTTGGCATGTGGCCGGCCTTCTGCTTCTTCTGCTTCAGGAGACTGTATATGTTTGCGTGGTCATAATCCACCGGTCAGTTAGGAGACGCCGGAGGTTGGGGCAGGGTGGCTGCTTTCTGCTTGTTTTCCTTTTCATATCAGCTGCTTAGAATTTTTAGAATAATTTCTTGGCAAATCTGTGAGTCACTCCAAGCACAAACGGTGCCCTGGTGCTCCTCATTAATGTATTTCTTTTTAAAAAATACGTATTTTTATTGATTTCAGAGAGGAAGAGAGGGGAAAAGAGAGAGAGAAACATCAATGATGAGAGAGAATCATTGATTAGCTGCCTCCTGCATGGCCCCTACTGGGGATCGAGCCCGCAACGCAGGCATGTGCCCTTGACCAGAATTGAACCCGGGACCCATCAGTCTGCAGGAGAAAGCTCTATCCACTGAGCCAAACCAGCTAGGGCTCTGATGCATTTCTTGTGCATCACCCAAGTCCAACCTGTAGCATCCAAAAATGATAACGCGTGAAAAAGGAAAAGAAATTCCCTATAATCCTACCCGGGCTACCACTCTTGAGCATTTCAGTGACTCATTCTTCCAGATTTTTTTCTCTATATTTATATTTTTCCCATATACAAAAATAGAATCTAACAAGACATACTACTTTATAACCTGGTTTCGCTTAGTGGTATGTCATTAGTATATTTCCTTGTCGTTACGTATTCTATAACAGCGAAAGATATTTAAAATTTATATCAAAGTACATGCACATGCCCTGGCTGGTTTGGCTCAGTGGATAGAGCATCAGCCTATGGATTGAAGGGTCCCAGGTTCGATTCCGGTCAAGGGCACATGCCTGGGCTCGATTCCCAATAGGGGGCGTGCAGGAGGCAGCCAATTGATGATTCTCTCTCATCATTGATGTTTCTCTCTCTCTCTCTCCCTCTCCCTTCCTCTCTGAAATCAATAATAATATAAAAGGTACATGCACATAATTTTTTTAAGTGTAGGACTTGCTGTGAAAAGCAACAACTGCCTCACTCTTCCCCAGTCCTAGGCCCGGTTAAAAGGGGCAACCGCCGAAACTGGTTGGGCTCAGTGGATAGAGCGTCGGCCTGCGGACTGAAGGGTCCCAGGTTCGATTCTGGTCAAAGGCATGTACCTGGGTTGTGGGCACATCCCCAGTAGGAGGGGTGCAGGAGGCAGCTGACCGATGTTTCTCTCTCATCGATGTTTCTAACTCTCTACCTCTCTCCCTTCCTCTCTGTAAAAAATCAATAAAATATATTTTTTTAAAAAAAGGGGGGGGGCAACCTTTGTCCCTTACACTTCTTGTCACACAGTGGTTTTCTCTGTGTACCGTTAGTAAAATGCTAATATCCCTATTCTTGGCTTATCTGATTGGCTGCTGATAAGAAATGAGGCTGTCTAGCCCGGCCGGTGTGGCTCAGTGGTTGAGCGTCGACTCACAAACCAGGAGGTCACGGTTGGATTCCCGGTCAGGGCACATACCTGGGTTGTGGGCTCGATCCCCAGTAGGGGGCGTGCAGGAGGCAGCCGATCCATGATTCTCTCTCATCATTGATGTTTCTCTCTCCCTTCCTCTCTGAAATCAATAAAAATATATGTAAAAATTTTTTTAAAAAAAGCAAGAAATAAGGGTGTCTAGCACTCAGACCCTTCCCCACCTCCTCCAAACATTTCCTGCCACTCTCTTTGGTTACCTTTGCAGTTTAAATTAATAGGCATAACCCTCAGTGCCTTGTCCCCGTCATCGCTGACGGTGTCTTCTGGCCCTTTGCTCTCCGAGGACGAGAGAGACTCCACTTCCTAACTGCCCGCGTCTCCAGCGTCAGTGTCTGTCTGTCACAGGCTCAGGCTCCTGAGGTCAAGGTTGAGAATTTGAATGTCCTGTTTCACAGCCACACGTCGCCCGAGCATCCTGGTGGTCACTGAGGGGCCGGGGGTGCACGGTGCTTGCCAGGCCTTCTCTCTGGGTCTGATGCCGCGCAAAGGAGAGTGTGCCGTCCCTCTCTTCCCTTGTATTCTGACACGGGCTCAAAAACCATCACTTCGTATTTTAGTTCCCGTCATTTTATTTTATTTCATTTTTTTTTAATCCTCACCCGAGGATATTTTTCCATTGATTTTAGGGAGAGTGTGGGAGAGAGAGGGAAAGACAGAGAGAAACATCGATGTGAGAGAAACCCATCGTCGGGTTGCCTCCTGCACGCACCCCGACTAGGGCCCGAGCTGGGGAGGAGCCTGCAACCAGGGTACGTGCCCTTGACCAGAATCGAACCCGGGACCTTTCGGTCCGCAGGCCGACGCTCTATCCGCTGAGTCACACCGGCTAGGGACGTTCCCGTCATATTTTGACCAGGCCTTTCTTAGGAAACTTTGCTTGTTTTTCTGGGGCTTCTGAAAAAGCATCGTTTTTGCCATTTGCTTGTGTTCTGTCCCATGAAGTATGGGGGTTGATTTTCACACCCAGCCCCCGTGCTGGGACATGGAGGTGGTTTGGATTTTTTTATACAATTAACATTCTTTTCCGTTCACCTTCGTGCCTTTGTTTCTTGCATAATGTTTGCGAGGCGGGAATGCTGCTCCCTGTAAGCCTGGTCCCCTTGTCCTCGGCCCCTTGCCGCCCACTGCCTTGCTGACTATGTTGGTTGGTTCTAGAAGTTGGTGTTTGGTGGTCGTGGTGGCCCCCAGCTAATGTCCATCTTCCTCTCCCCAGACTCTGAAGAGCGACCATCCTTCAGATTCCAAGCTGAAAACGTCTCCAACTACACCGCCCTTCTGCTGAGCAGGGACGGGGAGACCCTGTACGTGGGGGCCCGGGAGGCCCTCTTCGCACTCAATAGCAGCGCCAGCTTCCTGCCGGGCGGGGAGTACCAGGAGGTGAGAGACGATGCCCGGGGCAGAGGGTGGCAGGAGGGAAGGCGGACAGGAAGACTGACCTCCTGGGTCCGGGGATGATGCAGGCAGAGAGGGGAAAGGAGTTGGGGGTGGTGGGGGGCGGACCCTCCATTCCCACATGCACGCTCACCTGCTGCCTCGTTCCCCAGCTGCTGTGGAGTGCAGATGCCGAGAGGAAATACCAGTGCAGCTTCAAGGGCAAGGACCCACAGGTGAGCTGGGACCTGAAGGCGGCCTGGGCTGCAGGCGGGATGGAGGGCGGTGGTCCTGGACCCGGGACGGAAGCGCGAGTGGGAGCAGGTGCAGCCGGCTGTGGTGGGCGGGCACAGGCTTCTGAGATGGCCAGACCTGGCTCTGAATCTTGGGCCAGTAGATTTGCCGCTCTGGGCCTTAGTGTTCCCATCTGTGAAATGGGGATAGTAGCCCGGCCGGCGTGGCTCAGTGGTTGAGCATTGACCCATGAACCAAGAGGTCATGGTTTAATTCGCAGTCAGGGCACATGCCCCGGTTGAGGGCTCGATCCCCCAGTTGGGGGGCGTGCAGGGTATCTCCCTCTCCCTTCCTTTCTGAAATCAATAAAAATATATAAAAAATTAATAAAATGGGGATAGTGATGCCTGCCTCACGGTACCCACCGTGAGTGAGGATTCAGTGAGGTCATAGGAATAAGGCACCTGGCACAGTATAAGTGCCAGATAAACGTGAGCTTCTGGCAGGAGCAGCGACTGGGTGGGGACAGCTATCGTGTCCCTCTGCACATGGTGCCGGATGTGGCAGGTCTGACAGCTCCTGGTTTGGCTTTGGCCAGACCAATGGATGCGGGTCTCATCCAGTCCCGGGGGTCCTTCTGGAGGACTCCCCACTATTCCCAGAGGCCGCTGGTCCTGAGTGCAGCGGGGGCAGCTAAGGAGACGGCAGAAGAGCGCCGGACTTGGGATGGAGACACAGGTTCAAGTGCTGACACCCTAACTTCTTTCATTCAGCACATAGTATCTTCTAAAAAAAATTATATAATTATTTATATATATATATGTACATGTATATATTTATTATTGATTTTGGAGAGGGAGAGAGAGATAGAAATATCAGTGATGAGAGGGAATCATTGATTGGCTGCCTCCTGCATGCCCCCCACTGGGGATCCAGCCCACAATCCGGGCCTATGCCCTTGACCAGGGATCGCTCATAGGTTATGATCAACCACTGAGCCACACTGGCTGGGCAGCACTTGCTCTGTGCCCAGGTACTTTTAGACACTGGAGATTCAATTGTGAAAGAGAAGAAAGAACAACAGGCAAGAATCAGTCAATGTAAAAGGTAGTCCGGTTAGACACTTCCTTCCAAAAAAAAAAGTGCCATCTGAGCCAAGAGGAGAAGGCGGTGAGGGAGCTGACGGGGGGCACTTGCAGGAGGAGCAGGCCAGTGGGTTTTACTCCCAGTGGGGTGTCTGCGGAACCAGGGGAGGGACGAGCCTGGCGTTCATCAGGAGGGGCGGACAGTGGCCTCCATGCGGCGAGGACGAGGGAGGGAGACCAGCGAGGGAGGGGAGCTGCTGGTGGCCTGGACCAGCGAGGGAGGCCGGGTCAGATTCCCAATGTATTGAGGAGGTGGTGTCTCCCGATGGGAACATGCCGGGTGTGCAAGGTGGGACTTGGAGGCTGCCCATGAGTCTGGGGCCGGCATCAGGCCGAGTGTCTCCTGCTCTGGGCTGTGGCTCCCTCCCCATGTGGGTTGGGAGGGACCATCCGTTTGCACCGAGGACCTTCAGGGGCCAAGGCCGCCCAAGAGGAGGCGTTTCCGTGCCTCACCCCAGACGGAACTAAGGGCTACCGACCACAGAGCTGGCTGACCCCTGAGGTCCCACCTACACACATCTGTGGTCCTTGGGGGGCTCAGTCGGGTCCACATTTGAGGCCTCACCCCCAGCCCTGGCCTTGGGTCTCGGTGGTGCCCCCTGGCGGCTGGCTTGAGCCTGACATCCTGCCCCTCTTTCCCCAGCGCGACTGTCAGAACTACATCAAGATCCTCCTGCCACTCAACAGCAGCCACCTGTTCACCTGCAGCCCCG